TATATGAGGTCAGATATCACATTTCGTACTCTCTGCTCTATCAAAATTGTAAAATTATTCTGAATTGTTATCTAGATATATGAGGTCAGATATCACATTTCGTACTCTCTGCTCTATCAAAATTGTAAAATTATTCTGAATTGTTATCTAGATATATGAGGTCAGATATCACATTTCGTACTCTCTGCTCTATCAAAATCGTAAGATTATTCGGAGTTGTTATCAAGATATTCAAAGAATTGGATTCGAAAAAGCTTGACATGTTGTGAAACTTTACGTTTATAACGTCCAATTGCCAACTTCCTCAAAACTTGGTACCGAGCAGATAGAACTTTGTACCTCTGAGGCAGCGACTTCGCTACCCTAGAAGTGGTGAAATAAGAAAATAAGAAGGTTGCAGGTTCGGGGGTTCGAGCCTCAGCTCGGTCCGACGTTGTGTCTTTGGGAAAGGCACTTTACACGAAATTCCCATTTTGGCTCTGTCCTTTCGGAGATGGACGTTAAAATCTGAGGTCCCGCCTCTGAAATAACCTAATAGTGTTGATAGGGGCGTTAAACATATTCCATTTTCTCAATTTTCTTCTTTCACTCGCTCATTCTTGCACTTGCTTTGTCCTTTTCTTTTTCTCTTTCAGTCACTAGTTCATGTGTTCCTTTGAACCACCATTGTTTAAGATAAGATAAGATAAGATAAGATAAGATAAGATAAGATAAGATAAGATAAGATAAGATAAGATAAGATAAGATAAGATAAGATAAGAAAAAAAGAGGTGAAAATGGTATGGGTTTAACGCCCCTGTCAACACTATTAGGTTATTTCAGAGGCGGGACCTCAGATTTTAACGTCCATCTCCGAAAGGACCTAGCCAAATGGGAATTTCGTGTAGTAAACTGCCTTTCCTAAAGACACAACGTCGGACCCAGCTGAGGCTCGAACCATCGAACCTGCAACCTCACGATTATACGAGTCCGGTAGTCTAACCACTAGACCACCGACGTCACGAATCAGAATGGCAAAGTTCTATCTACTCAGCATCTAGTTGTGAGAAATTTAAATGTTACATACAAATTTTGGAGTATTACAACATGTCAAACTGTTTCGAATACAATTCTTTGAATATCTTGATAACGACCCAGAATGATCTTACGATAATTTTGATAGAGCAGATAAAACACATTTTGGTGTCTGACCTCGTGGTTTAAGTTACTCAAAACGGCCAAAAAAGTCTGATAGAACTTTATAACTTTGAAGTAACGATTTGTTCTGTTTTAGTAAGGGTTTTACGGGTCTTATCCAGATGGCGAAAATAATGGTAAGTTACCATAGCCACCCACTGACATCGGAATTTCAATTATTGACCGGCAGTAAACGATACATTTCCGAAAAAGCAAGAACAGACAGATATTATGGTCGCTTTTAAGCACCGGGGGG